ACTGTGGCGGGATGGTAGAGCAGGTGAGCAGATGGCACCAGGCCAAGGCAGGTGCAAGCAGGGCTGATGGCCCAGCCGGTTGTCCTGCAGATGATGACCAGTGGTGGTGATGGCAGGGGTCAGGGCCACTGCCTGGCTCCCATGTGCTGAGGGAGCCGGGTGGGAGCCTGATGACAAAGGCAGAGGGGGGTGCTCAAGGGTCTGGGGGCCCAGGTGCTGCCCAGGGCCCAGAGGTCAGCTGGTACTTGGGCTTCCACGCCAGATGCTCACACTTCCATCATCAGCCAGGCCTAGGGACTGCACCCATGTATGATATTTGTGCACCCGGCCTCTAGTTCTGTGATAATTGTCTTGCATTTGAGAGTGTTCACAAGTTCAAATTTTCATTTTTAATGGGCTTGTTGGTTTGTTTAGTGTTGAGTTGTATGAATTCTTTATGTATTTTGGATGTTATCTCATTGTCAGAGCTTTTATTTGAAAATGCCTTCTCCTATTTCATTCTGTAGGTTGCTTTCTAGTCTTGTTGATGGTTTCTTTAGCTGTGCAGAAGCTTTATTGTTTGATACATTAGTTTTGCACTATTTTAAAGAAAATAATCTGATTGCATTCCCAAAAACATGGTATTAGTTTGTAAGTACTGCTACTATACTGTAACAAAGTAACACATAATGCGTTGCATAAACAATAGCAGTTTATTGTATAATAGTTTTGGAAGCTAGAAATCTGAGATCAAATTGTTGGCAGGGCCATGCTCCCTCTGAAGGTGCTAGGGAAAGATCGGCTCCAGGCCTCCATCCTCGCTGTTGGTGGTTTGCCAGTGATCTTGGATGTTCCTTGGTTTATAGCAGCAAAACCCCAATCTTCACATGGCATTCTCCCTGTGCATGTCTATGTCCAAATATACCTTTTTATAAGGATACCGATAATATTGAATAAGAAACCCTTTCTACTCCATCTTATCTAGTTACTCCTGCAAAGACCCTGTCTCATTCTGGGGTCCTAGAGGTCAGGACAGCAGCACATGACTTTTTGGTGGTGGTGATGGAGACACAGTTCAATCACGAACCTATGATATACCTAGAAGGAAATGAGAATCAAGGTTTTTAGATAATTGTTTTGAGAGGTTTGATTAGAAAATACAGAAGAATGCACAGCAGGATATAGAGTTGATGGAAAATTGCATTGTTTTTATTTTTAGATGGGCAAAATTTTTAAACTTTTAAGGTTCTTTGGGAAAAAAAAAGTTAATAGCATGGCTGGGGGCACTAAAAGGTGGATCCCAGTTCCAGAGGGGACAGTAAGGAATTGATGGAGAGAATAGATGGGTTGTTCCCTGTAAAGTAAAAGGAATACTTCTCTCAATACAGGGTGGGGCAAAAGTAGGTTTAAAGTTGTTTGCTTAATAGTACAATAATGAACAAATAATATAAAATAAACTGTAAACCTTTTCCCCCACTCTGTATAACAATGAGGGAGGAGTCATGGAGAAGTGCAGATTTAGTTAGGTTTGTTATATTTATTATTGCAAAGATGAGATAATTTCCTTCTAATTGATTGTTATTATTACTACTAGAGGCCTGATGCAGGAAATTCATGCAAGAGTAGGCCTTCCTTCCCCTGGCTGCCGGCACCAGCTTCCCTCTGGCACCCAGGACCCGGGCTTCCCTCTGGGCCCGGCTTCATCCAGAATGACTTCTGGAATGACGTCTGGAAGGACAGCGAGCCTAATTAGCATATTATGCTTTTATTATTATACACTAGAGGCCCGGTGCACAAAAATTTGTGCACTCGGGGGGGTGAGGAGGTGGGTCCCCCAGCCCGGCCTGTGCCCTCTGGCAGTCTGGGACCCCTCGGGAGATAACGACCTGCTGGCTTAGGCCTGCTCCCGGGTGGCAGAGGAAAGGCCCAATCCCTAAGTGCAGCCCCTGGTCAGGCTCAGAGCAGGGCCGATTGGGGAGTTGGGGCGCCGCCCC